TATATATATATATATTCACACATACATACATACTAGTCTCTATGCTCGTACGCACGAATATAAGTCAAGTATCACATAATTTTACGAAGACACTAAAATTTTAATCGCGTATGTATTGTAATAGTATTATTTGTTAGAGTAATACAATAGAACTAATTAATGTATCTATTTAGTTACCGCTGTGGATAAACTAATATTTCAGTTCAAAACGTAATTGGCTATTGCTTGTCCCTCTAAAGGATCACCATAAAATGGGTTACATATAATTTGTGATTGTACTACTTTTTATTTATAAGGTACAAATATGTTTTTAGCAGTATCTTCCTTAATTTCTTTGGGTGTATTTATGAGTGCTCCTTCATTGATATCGCTAAGGTGGTATGACTTGTAAGCTATTAGGTGATAAATCACTATCGACAACTGTGATTTCAAGTACTTCGATGATACTATAAATATTTGTTCGTATATGGATAATAGTGGAGAGATATTTCCACATATATTCTTAAAATACTGCTAACGCAATCCAAATTAAAACATGATAACGTTTTCTTGATAAGGTGAACATACTTAACAAAAAAAATTAATTAACACAGGATCACGCTAAAACTTACAATATTGACGGATAAGTTTCCAACTAAGCTAATTTGAACTGATACACTTTGTAACCTGTAAGTGATGCCACCGGAGGTCCCTAAATTTGATCATCAAATCAAACATTCCATAAATCTTATTGGAATGAATTAGTAATATTACTAGTTAATTTGTTCGCGCGTCATGCGGTTTAGTAAACTTCATAAATTAAAAAATTTCAAGCTATACATCTTGCTATTAATATTTCAATTAGATAATTCTAAAAGTTCTAGAGGTACTTGGTTTTTGTATAATAATCTTATATATATGATATGTTTTCCTAATAAGAAGTATTCTTTGAAATGTGCAGTCTACTATTATTGTTTGCTTCTAAAAATAATTAATATTAAAACCATGTGTATAAGGCTATAAAAATGGTAATATAAATCAATTCTTAAAGTATATAAGTAAAAGCAAAAAAAAAAAAAAAACCGATGTAACAATTTTTTCCATTGATTTTTTTTTTGTTTACCTTTTTATCTATTCCTTTCCTTCTATATCTTTTTTCCCTTCCTTAATCCCTACCAGTTCTTTTTCAGAAAAGAATATCAAGTTTTCTTTTTCTCTCTCCTTCTCCAACATCCCAATAATAAATGTAAATAACCAAAACACTCAAAATATAATAATAAAGGAGATATTTTAAGAAACTAATACCAAATTGAAGGTATATAACATAAGATGCTCGAAAAGTAAAGGAAAATGTTTATACATTTTTATCACGCAAGAAAAAACAAAAAGAAGGGAATCAGTTTAATGAAGAAAGGTTGTCTTGAGGAAGGACCCTACTTGCCCCATTCAACAAAGTTACATTCATTCATATAGTCGATAGCTCGGCAACCTGCACATTATACAAAAATTAAAATGTTAAAAGATCCAAAAATACAATTACAAAAGCAAATAAAGCATATTTAGATGTATCATAAAAATTTAAATTTCATAGAGTCGTTATAAAAAATATATGAGTAAATACCGATTTTAGGTTCTAATTGGCATAAAGTCAATAAAAGCTTCTGGCATAACCAAAACACATAACCTCACATCGAATTATTGAATTAGTTATATGTAAATTACATAACCTCATAGATTGTTGGCTTCAGAAAATCTCCATATGGAGCATAAAAAACACGCGCCTCTCCCATCTGCAAAAGAAAACAAAAACAAAGAAGAATTCAAGACTCATGCAACCATAAATTAGTAATCGAAAAGAAAGTCCAGATATTCCTTTCTAAACAGAGGAAAAAGATAATAACAGAAGAGGTAATTAAGGGGAAAGGTGAAATTAGAAAGCAAATATAATTAACATTGTTGGTCTCAGTAATTGAAAATGTCTCAAAAACCAATCTAATACTCGAAAGCTTTGGAAGCCTTCAAATACGTGAGCAAGAATGCAGCATCTATAGATTCTTTAAAAATGAAACGTTTCTGCATATTGTTTTCCAAAAGCAACGGTTACCTATTTTGTAGTAACTGATACTTTATGTGAGGATGTTAAACCAATTGAATTCTTACAATGCAACATGGTTCATGAATTTTTTCATCATCTTACTACTAAATATGAAGAAAACATCAGTATATATATGGAAAAACCTTGACATCTTATCCTAGCAGCAAATTATATCTGATAACAACAGCAAATTTTATCTGATAAAGCTAAGCAACAGAAGGAAGCAGACCTTAGAATATGCCCAGTCGCCTTATGTAAAAGCTTAATTGAAAATCTCATGCTCTGACTCCACGTTCTTTCTGTAAAATCCCAGCAGGAACTCATTTAGTGTTATCAAGACCTGTACGAATGCACAAAAACCTTAGAATTTGGAAAATTAACTTGCACAGTATTTCTATTCAAAATTTGATTTGAAAAGAAAAAAATGTGAAGACTTTTTGGACAAAGGAGAAAAAAATGCAATTAAATAAAAGTAAAGATAAACACCAAATCTCTTTTCTCGCATACTCCATCAGAGCATAAAATTAGAAGTGAGATTCAATTACCTGATAAATGCAATACAGCGAAAATGAAGAGAGAAGTTCCAACTAATATGACATAAATCAAAAATAGCATGGGAATAAATTAAATCATAAACCACTTTTCTTAAGAAAGGGATAACATTGTCAATAAGCAGTAATAACATAGAAAGAATAAATCATTAATAGGTAGAAGTAGCTAGAGGGAAAGATCACATTGAGATCCAAATTGCTATTACATCCTTACTTATAGAGTCATAGTAATGTACATATATCCTAAAATATCTTACCTACTTCCGTAAAAATCAAAAATCATCAGTAGAAATTTACACAATGACAAATTTTCATTGAAGAAGTTATGATAAAATTTTAAGTAACAACTAAAATCATTGTAAAGCATAATTACCTTGACTTGGTAGCAAATTCACATTAGTGTATATATGTCCTATTGGACAACGAAATTTCAAAATCAGGAAGAGAGAAAGAGCTAGAGAAAGAAGGAAGAAAAAAGAATACAATATAGAATAGAATAGAAAGAACAATAGAATCCGTCGAAATTCATCAGCACATGTAGAGGTACGAGTTGGTTAGAATACAAGGAGATGTGACAAGTTAAAGAGAATGAGTGAACAGTTACGGATGAATTAATGGACCGTTTCAGAATTTAAGAGACGTGGTAGATCTTGAAGGAAAAGAAAGACCGAAAATGCCTAAAATCTGAGAAAATTGGAAAATAGATTTTTTTTGGCTTGTGAGGCCTGCCATATAAGCTCTTTGATTGCCCAGCTTTATATATATACTAGTGTATTACCCCGTGCTTTCGCGCGCNATATATATAACGAATTTATAAGGAAAGAATACATATAAAAAATCAATGCAAATGGAATCATTTCATTCTTTTTTGTACTTCTATAATGATAGAGTTCTCTCGTCCTCTCAATTGGAAAGAGAAATTGTAGTTTATAATTTTGGGCGTTTCAAGAAACTATCTAAAGTTCTATATTTCTAATATTTTAGTGAAAACTTTATAAAATTTAGATAATATTTCTTGCACGAAATAACAAAGGAAACGCTAAAGGCGGCATTAAAAACGGTTACAACTTTAATTAATTAATGAAAGTGAAATATATTGCTCCACTCTGTATATGTGAAATAACAACTGACAATCATAATATTAAATTGTTATTCTACAGATAAGAGAAGTAGATAGTCTTGCGTTTTTATTCTACATGTATGAGAATTGAGAAGTAGATCATCTTGTGTTTCATATTTCTTTTCTCGTATGCTTCGCTTTTTTTTCTTCTTCAAAAAATAGAAAATAAGTGATGAAATTATTGCTGATCCTCACGTCTTACCTACTACGCAAATTAGTTACACTGATGGGCTTGAACTCTTTGCTTATGTTAATTCAACAAGGTATAACAATTTATTAATGGATTTAACTTATATACACTAACGGTGTAGATCGTCTCACTATGCCACTTCATTCTCTTGTTAAACGTTTTATGTAGTACACCTACAGCTTTCATTACACATCCAACGACTCAATTGGGAACAAAGCCGCTCCAGTCATGGCAACCTTTTCATCAATAGGACCTAACACTGTTACGCAAGAGATCCTTAAGGTTTTGCACTGGTCCATAATTTTTTCACTAAAGTGACATGACTTCTTCTCTTAACAGATCAGGAACTTGAAGTCTGAAAAAGCTATGCTTGAAGAATGTGCCGAGCAAGTTGAAGCACAATATAGTTTTTGTTCTGTTAGGATTTTATCATTTGTGCATCGTGCTATAGTTCTAGTGTCTGTTTTTAGGAGTTGATAAAAATAGTGTCATGCAATTTGATTGAGTATATTTATAGACATTGTGATCCTTCGGTTCTTTGTAATGAACAATGAAATTTTGTTGAGTATGAATTTTGATTATTTGGTATATTTTTAGTTGTTGTATATATTTGTGTGAGAGAAAGCATATGGTAATGATTATTATTGGATAACTACAGAAAAAAATATAAATTGGTGTAATTATATTTATTAAAATTTCACATCAACGAAGGAAAATGTGGTCTTTAAAACTCTTTAACAACAGGATTATCAAATGGTTACAGGTGCATTAGCGAAGGGAAATTTGGCAATTTGCGACGGAAACACCAGTCGCTAAATAGGAACAACGACGGAAAGTTTTCTGGTCGTTAAAGGAATTTAACGATCGCATTCTAATTCGGTCGTTAACTTTTAACGATGGAGCCTTTAGTGACCGGCGACAACCGGATTTTATTTGGTAGCTAGTTATTGACTTATAGCGACTGGATTTGAACTTTTAACGACTGGATTTCCCTTCATTAAAAGCCAATTTTCTTGTAGTCCTTCTTTCAGGAGTACATAGGTTTTCTTCTTCTCATGGTCTAGCATGGCAATTTTCTTTGATGTCTCGAGATATAATATAACCTATAAGTCTAATAAAAAGAAAAGACCTAGATCAACAGAAAAATGAAAAATGAATAAAAGAGTCTTTTCTATGAACTATGAAAAATTCAACAACTACTCATATTGAATTGATGTAAGAAACAACACAACAGTATCACGAAACTTCACTTTATGAACAATAATATTGAATTGAGGTAATTTCTCTTAAACATATATTACTGAATGATAAAAATAAAAGATATAAGCTTTGAGATTTACCGTACTATCTTCTACACCAAATATAATCCCACGGCCATCAAGTGTGAACCTGACGTATTAATACCTTGCTATAATAGGCATAAATTTTTTGTGATAAAATTAAAGAGAGAATAACTCTGATGAACCCAAATTTCATATTCTCTAGGCAAAGAACTACCATATACATAGCACATACCAAATCGCATGGAATTGTTAGTTTTTAAATAAAAATTTCAAAAATAATAAATGAATTAGAACGGAATAAAACGGTCTTACCTTGTCATGGCAAATGAGTGTAAGAAATATCAGTACAAGAACTTAAAGGAGAAATAAGGGAGAGGTGCTTTCTCACATTGTTATCTTGTTAGTGTTGAATTTGGCAAATTTTTGTCCCACATCGGTGGGCTCTTAAGTTTTGGGGGGATTTTTCCCCTATAAAAGAATGCCTAATGTTTAGGATTTAAACACACCTCTCATTTGCCTTCTCATCTGTTTAAGGCATTTGTATCTTCTCTCTTTAGTATTATTTCACTTGTATTTTGGAGTGGAATAAAATATTGGCTGTGTTCGAGGAGTAGGCAAAATTAGCCGAACCTCGTAAATTTTGGTGTTCCATTTATTATTGCTTTATTGTCTTATTTATTATTTGGTGGCTGTCATAATTTTTGGTATAGTAGTTGTGACTTATTCACACT